AAGGTCAGGGAGTTCGATAACCAGCCTTGGAGGCGAGACCCCGTCTCTACAAAAATAGAAAAAATTAATTGACCAACTAAAAGTAATATTACAAAAAAAAAAAATTAGCTGGGCATGGTGGCGTTCTCATGCCTGTGACGCCCTCCACGTTCTGTTCAGCGAGTGAGGGTCTGAGGCCGCGCCGCTCGCTCTCTGAGGCAGCGAGTTGGAGGTGCTGTTCGATGGCGGAGATAGGCCTGAGACGCATGGCACTCGGTGCTGCGCCTGGGCAACAACGGGGAGTGCAGCACTCGGTGTCGTGAGAAAGCAGGGAAAAAAAAGTATTAGAGACACCCTCTCACGTAGGTCCCTCACAGTGTCATTAATCCTCGCGCAATGTAAGAGTACCTTGACGCCACCTATCTGGCTCTCGCGCTCAGAGGGCGACCAGATATGGGCGCGCGCTCCAGGCGCTTTCTGACTCCAAGCTTGAACCAAACCAGCCGTCTACAGCTCCAAGCGCTAGCTCTCTCGCGGCTCGCGCTTTCTTGGCTACTAGTTGCTGCCGAGTACTCGGATGTATCCTTAATAATTTCAGAGCTAGGACTGCCCTGGGTCGGAAACCGACATGCTGAGTAAATACTCTGAGGAGTCATATGAGATGTTGACGTATGTGTGCATATCCAGTGTGAAAATAAGCATCCTTTCAGATGTCTTATCTATGTGTGTGTGATGAAGTGTGAGTAGATCCTTGTCGCTGTTGTTGTTTACAAGCTTGAACAGTTTGGAGGAGTTCCAGCGACAGGGTAAACTCCTAGTGCTACTTTCAAATGCTGTGTCCATCATTTTAACACGTTTGCACTGTCTGAAATGACTGACATCGTGTCTTTCTTCTATAGAGATTCAACTTCTTCCCACGCAAATACCACCATTTTTCCCACGCAAGTGCCACCATTTTTCCCCAATTCCCATTTCCCCTACCTCCCACAACCGCCTCTGGTAAGCCTGAGCATATAGGTGGGGGATTCTCGAATATATATTAGCCGGGCATGGTGGCGCATGCCTGTAGTCCCAGCTACTTGGGAGGCTGAGGCAGGAGGATCGCTTGAGCCCAGGAGACTGAGGTT